CCTTGAATTCATTGTGTAGCCAAGGCTGGCCTTGACTTTGTGGTAGTGATCCTGCTGCCTCAGCCTCTGAGTGCTGGGATTACAGATGTGTGCCACCCTGGCTGGCTGGAAGCAATATATTTTAAGCCAGCTATCACCACCGTCCAGGTATGAAGTATCAAATGCCAAGACTATGATAGTTATAGTGAAGGTGGAGGAATAAATTTAACCTTTGGTGGAGGGGGTGAAGGGAGGGTGGGAGAATGGGGAAAAAATAAGAGCCAAGATACATCATATAAAGGTACAAGATCCCAAAGATGAATGTAACTGTATTGTATACCTAAAATGTACCAATAAACTTAATGAAAAAAATTTAACCTTTGAAATTTTTATCAAACAGACAATTACAAGAACTGATGGAAAGACAGGAGTTCCAGATTTAGCAAGGGTATAAGTTCAGGCAAGGGATAAATACTAGGTTTGGGGAAAATGGGAATGATAAAGTCATCTGTGGGCATACTGCATTTATAAGCATGATAGTGGATCTGAGTGGAATTATCCTATAGTAACTAGAAAAAGGGAACTGGCAAAAATAGATCAAGTCTCAAAGAATGAATTTGAGTAACATCTGCAGAGATAATAAGATCACTTAGGTGAGTGTGTTAGCTAGCATTGTGTTACTATGACAAAATACCTGAGTATACTCCTTAAATTAACGTTTAAGGAGGAAAGGTTTATTTTTGGCTCATGGTTTCAGAATTTCCAGTCCATGTGGTCAGTTGACTCCGTCATTTTTGGACCTGAGTGAGGAATACATCACAATAGGCTGGGATCCCCATATCCCCTTTAAGGACACACCTGCGATGATCTAACTTCTTCCCACTCAGCCTCCTCTTTTCAATATTCCACCATCCTCCAATATTGCCATGGGTTGCTGACCAAGTCTTTAACATATAGGCCTTTGGGTGATATTTATCTAAACAACAGCAGTGAGTAAAAGATAAAAAGGAGTATTGGTTTTCACTAAAGAATTAATGTAAGAAACAAATGTCTAAAGAGGTATTAAAAGAAAACAGAAATGTATAAGGAGTGTCACAAGACTTGAAAATAGAATAGTTAGAGGTATCAAGTACTATGCAGCAAGGAAAGATGAGGACTCTAAAAAGAAAATTGACACGTGACTACTGAAATTAATGGAAACTAGGTAAGAAAAGGCACTCCTGAACAAGCCAGATTTTAGAGGCTCCAATACATAGGATGGTAACTAAAAAGGGTAAGGATATCATGAAAATTTTATTTCAGACAGAACTTGTTTATTATTGACTACACTATGGGAGAATTGGTAGATTTGAGATGCTTCAGAAGGAGACAGTATGTTGCCTACTGGAAAGTTTCCTTATCTCTAGATTCTTCTGCATCATTCTGTCCTCTGAATCAGTGCTGAATATGCCAATCCCCTGCCTTAAAGACCTCTTTGGGTTCCCTGTTGCCAGAAACTTGTAGCACAACAGACAAGATGCTCTGTACTCTGGTTCTAAACTCCCTCTTGCATTTCACCTTCTGCCACTCAGGGCACAGGGGAGTTCACATTCTTCCCAGGTCAGATCTTTGTACACGTTGCTCTCTCTGCCTGGAAATCCTTTCCCTCATCTTTCCCGTGGAAAATTCTAACTCATCCTTCAACACCTGGCTCGAATTTCATCTCTTTTTTGAGTTCTTTCGTGCCTCCCCTAGCCCAGTACAAGTCTCCTTCTTTGTGTCTTCAACTGTAAGTTGTTCGCTCATATCTTTGTCTCAGCATCCTGAATTTTAATTCATTGTTTCCATAGCTGTGTTAGCCATTAAACTATGTGATCCCTGAACACAAGAACTGTCTTTTTGTTTTAATCTCCATGGCGGATACAAAACAAATTCTTCACTAAAAACATCAGGAATGAATGAATATTAATATAAGAGAATATATATTAAAGTATAAAAAGTGAAAAAATACTATATTAGTACAGTTTCACCTCTATGCTCTCTCTTTTTAAAATTATTATGATATACGTAATATATGCAACATGTGAATTGGACATTCTGTATGCATATGCTACAGACATTGTATATTAGAAAATGGCTTTGTAGTTCAGCAATCTCAGCTTCAGATGCAACCTCAGATCTTAAAAGTGATGTGAATTTAAGTTAATTTTTCTGAACCTGAGATTCCAATTGGTCAAATGAAGATTATAGGCATATTTACCTAGTAGCATGGTGTGAGGATTAAATTGACAAAATATAGACTAAATTTAGTGACTAGCATTTAGTTATCACCAGTGTTAACTATTACTTCCAACTCCTGTCTTCGTGATCCAGATCTCTTAGTTTCTCTTTGCAGATTTGGCTTCTTTGAAACTTTAATTAATCCTTTAAGAAAATATTTTTGTCCATTTTTAAGATAAATTTTGGAATTAGGAAACTTAATGCAGTCTATCTTTATGTAGCAGTGCTTCATCTGTCTAAATCATGCTATCTGATTAATAATACACAATCCTGGCATCAGATAAGTTCAACAGATATCTAGAATTAAATACATTGGTTGATTTATTAGGTTCACAATTAAATCTAGATTGTAAGGCTCCAAATAACTTCCTTGCAGAGGAAGATGTGGTTTTGAGGCTTGCTAAACTGGATCTAAGGACACACTTTTTTGTCTTATCTTCAAGATTTGATTGCCCTGAGTGGTTTAGATCAACTCTCCCCCTCTTTTCTTTTTGCAGAATTTTTGTGGTTAATAAAAACATGTGCTTACCACCCTTTTTTTTTTTTGCATAGATAAAGGAAAGGATTCCACATCAGATTTAGATCAAGAGATAGATTTTCAGAAGAAAATGATGACTCTGTCCTCTGGGAACAGCGGAGTGTAGCATGTTCCATCTCTGAATGATTGAGTTTATGGCATTAAGGAACCCTTCCACACCCACACCCACTCAGAAATGCAGACAGTGGTCACCCTGCACTTTAGACGCTGCCTTTTCTCAGTCTCATTTCCAAAGTGTATCCGTTGTTTTCCATAGCTTGACATAAATCCCTCTCTTTTGCCCAGTGGTGAAAAGCTTATATAAATACTAAAACTTCAGCTATTCCCCTGAGTTCTCTTCTGGCTGCCTGAAGTCATGGGTTTGTTTGGATATTGACATGCATTCTCTGTGCAGATCTTTTAGGCCACTTGGGTGAGTCCAGTGGAGATAAATTCACTTGTTTTGAAAATTTATCAGACTAACCATTTTACCACTCTATTTATGAAAACTTAAATAATTGACACCCTGAAAAGGGTCCAGATTCAAAGAGTCTCTTTTATTCTTTCAGCGTATATCATTCTGATGATAAATATCTATGTATATTTTAGGAAGTCTTGGCTAGGAGATGATGTTAGCAGTCATTGAACGGAAAATATGAATGTGAAGACTTGATTAGAGGCAACACATTTAACCTTGAATCATGATACTCTCATGAAGCAATACTTTTTATTTTTATAAGTATTTTATTGTGTACTAAATGGGGATAGTGAATATTACTTGAATGAAATGAAAATGTGTATAGTGCAGAATCTTTATCCATTAAAATTGGAGAGAAAAAGGAGACACTAAAGATTAGAATCAATGTTTGGCATATAGAACACACTCATTAAATACACATGTAGATAGCACTAATTGGATTCCTAGTGAAATGTAACACTTCATAAAAATGTTTATTTTCTCTTTAGGTAAAAATTTATATGATTTAACATCATTCTTCATATGTTAGTTCTTTAGAGAATACATCAATTTCACTTTTTTACTTTTTCATCTTTATTTATTAGATGTCAATCAGAGGAGAGTTCTCCAAGCAATGATACTGTTTCTGCACTTTTTTTAAATGATGAAAGAAGTGTATTTCTCTAATATAGTTTCCTATGCAGTCTGTAGATCTGAGATGAATTCTGGCTGTGTATAAGAGAGTAGAATAGAATACCATGAGTTAAATATTTCAACCATAGTTCCACTAGTATTTTTAGATTGGTAAGGCATTTTATTTGCTGGCAATAATCTGTCTTAGCAGTGTTTTTAAAAATTCTCTTTTATCACCTAGATTATTAATTACTAGCAGTAGTTTGCTGTTTCAACAATTAATCATTCTGAATTTTTCATGTATTAGAAATTACAATTGTGTTGAGTTGTCTGTAAGGATCTAAGATTTTCCTTCTGAGTTTCCCATTTTAACAGAGAAGAAAGAAAAAACAGTAAATCTCATTGACGAATTAGCTCCTCTTTCCTTAAGACCCAATAGTGAAAATAAATGAAATCAAATATGCTTTTATGTCCAAGCCCAACTTTAAACTGTAGAGGAAACAAAACAGAGGTAAAGGATATGCATGAATTTGAATTTTGTTGGCTTAAGTTAAAATACTAGGCTTTTCCAAGTATAGAGTTCTAGTTCATAAATTACATTGCAAATAAATAGCTAAGGTTGTTTTTGAGGTCAGTGATTGTGGTTGTTAATTCTTTTGTACTTTACACATTGTTTTATTTTAATATAGCTGTATTTTTTATTTTGTGGAACAATTTAGATTATCAATGTCTGTCCTAACCTGATACTGTACCTAAGACCTATAAAACATTTTGCTCCATGACTTCATACTCATATTGAATATTATTATATTTGTAAACTGTTCAACACCACATTTAGAACTCAGTTAATACCATTTTCTACCTGGTGTTTCTTTTCCAGCACCCTCTTCCAAAGAATATATCAGGATAGAAATAGGAGGAATTATATCTCTAATGGTTGGTTTTTAAATCCTGAGGCCAGACTGGCTGCTTTTACCACTGTAGGTTCATATAAGTTGTTTCCTATACATAAATTTCCCTCAAAGCTCAGAGTTAAAGAAGTTTAAGAAACATGTTTTGTCACCATTAGTTACTTGGAAAGAGGCCCACATGAGAGAAGAGGTCATGTTACATTTTTTAGATTGTGAACATGCATCCTTTTTGGTACATTTCCAGGTTTGAAGAAGAAATGACTGCCACGTGGTTGTGTCTCTTTGAAGGCTGTGGAATCCCTTATGGCCCAATCAACAACATGAAGGGTGTATTTGCAGACCCCCAGGTTTGATTTTTGAAGTTTTTAGTTGCTTCTCTTTCCTACCCAGATTGATTCATACAAACGTACATTAGCCATTGATCTTAAGCTTTAAGCCACATAATATGACTTCATTGATATGTTCAAATAGTGGATCTGGGGCCGGGGATTTAGCTCAGTGGTTCTGGCGCCTGCCTTGCAAGTGCAAGGTCCCACGTTCAATCCCCGGTGCCAAAAAAACACAAACAATCAAATAGTGGATCTGAAATGAATCAGAATTTATAACTGGCTGTCTATAAACATACTTTTTTTCATCTGTTAGCTCTAATATATCCTCTCATCAGCCACTACCAAAATGTAGACAATTGAGAGGCTGGAGTCAGGCTCTCAGAGAACTTTCTGTTGAAAGAAATATGAGAAATTTCAGTTACGTCTTGTCTCTTATCATATGGCTGTCTTAAAATGTACAAAGCCTGTCATGTGTAGTTTTGCAAATTACAAGTTTTCATGTACTTTGATTAAAGTGGTTATTTGTGAGGCATAAATTTCACCTGAATAGAGGTTGATGCTATCCATTGCTTCAGAATTTCCTTCTTGGGAGCCAGGAAAAATGGTCACCTGAAAAAAATAATTTCTTCTATAGTATTGTTCACAGGATTATTTTTAGATGATCTCACAATAACAAGTTTTGATATTCTTACTTCAACAAGCATAATGATAAGCAATTTACTATATCTTAGATTTACATGGTAACCCCCAAATATGGAGGAACTTTGCTTTTCTGTGTAGCTTTTGCTATGATTATTCACGTATCTTGTCAATTTCCAATATTTCAAAACTATAGGACTTATTTCTTGTGTTCTTTATATTTATATAGTGGAAGGTTTTTATTTGAAATGAATTATTAAAAACAGAACATAGCTTTTTGAGCAACTTTGTTGGAAAACCAGTCACTATAATTTTGGTACCTTCATCTTACATCCAAAAAGAAAATTGGAGTGTATTTAATTCAGTAGTTATAATATTTACTGCCTAAAAAGGTGAATGAATTCATGAATTCTGCTCTGTGCTATTTTTCTGCCAAGACCGTGAATTTTGTTTGCAATAAAACAGTGGTCAGTATGGATATGGTATAACAGGGCCCACTTGGTGTGTGTTGTGTGAGTTTGAAAGGGATCACAAGCTCACTGGAGTATAGCCTGATGATTTCTTGCAATGAGGTGGTAGTGTGCACACCCCAAATATAGACCAGGAGGCTGGTTGTCTCACACCATAACTTCAAATGAGAATGAGTCATTGCTTTAAGCCGTTGCACACTGTAGGGTGTAGGATTTCACATTTATTTCAATTTGAGGGCACATTTTCCTAGAGATATTTCCTGAGAGTTTTTCCATCAGCATTTCTGTTGCTTCACCTGTTTGGTAAAGTCACCAAAGCAGAGGATTATTCTTAAATGTTAGTAGGTGTGTTCTAATAGTATCTATTTTTTAGGCTCTGGTAAACATTGACCTAAAGTTTCACCCACTGCCTTAAAATTGTTCATATCATGGCCTGGTCAGAGCAAATACAGGGTACTTCGGATTTTTGTATCTAATTTTCCCTTGTAGTTCAGTTTAATTACTGCAGGGGAACTTTAATTATTATCTTGATATATCAACTGTTCTGGACCCATAAAGAAGTTTATATTTTTTGTCTGTGGCATATTTTCATACTTAATCTACTTAGCAAATGGAGAAGACTGATACTTCCTAAGCTAGGATACCATCTTTTAATACTACCCTCAAACTTTCTACAGGATCCTCTTTTACCCATCAAAAAATGGATTTTAATTGTTACAGTTTTAATATCAAAATTATCTAATTACACTGTGAGTGTTATTGACAGTTGTACCCTTGTAGCTAGAGGAACATTGTTCTCTTTTATATGTAATTTTATTTTTCTTTGGAATTTAAATACAAGAATGTATCCACACAATTTATCTGGAGTTTTAGAAAGACTAGAATAATATACTACTATTACATTTTGAAAAAAAGCAAAGATGGCTTTGGAAATTTAAATATTCCATTTGTGTTCCATATAAGAAGTAAGGGAACCATCTTTCCCTTTTGCTTGGAAGTGTTTGTAACCTATTAGAAAGAATTCTATAAAATTTTCAATTTTAAAAGGAATGTTTAATGTGGAAAAATCAGAAAGTTAAAGATTATTAAAATAACGTAAAGTTGACATGTATAAAATGACTATGGAGAAAATTCTTTCATTTATTCAAGAAACATTTATTGTATTTATTATATTCCAGATGTTAGAGATTTAATATGAATTAAGTATTCTTTGGATCTCTGAAAAACAAATTAAAAATTGATTTAAACAGCAGGTACATGATAAATATTTACATATGGGTGAATCAACAAATGAATAAGTTGTTTACTTATAGAAAGTGTAGGTTTTCCAAATGATCAAGTGCCTGCTTTACTCCAACTGGGCTGACAAGCCATCTTTAGGACTGGTTGAATTGTTCTTGCTGATCTTGGGGGCTGAACATAAATAACATAATGGTTAATTGTCCAAAGTGTTGGACAGTTTTATAAACTTTCCAGGCTTTAGTTTCCTTAACTTTATGGTGAAATAGGATCATATCTCTATACTGTTGAAAGTATAAAATGAGATGTTTATCAAGGCAATAGCACAGGGGTTGTTAGATGGTAGATGCTCATTGTGTAGATCCCGTTATGATGGTGGCCTGTATGGTTGTATTCTTGATACAAACACCTTTGTTACTTACCTTCCTAGTGGATGGAAGTACACTCATATAGTCACCAGGATGAGGGTCATTTACATAATATCACACTGTACTGTCTTGTTAAGAAGAAGCATCCACGCTCTGTACTGGGAAGGTCTCAACTCTTCATTCTTTCCGATTATTGACAACCCTATTATTTTTCATTTCCACAAAAGGTTTTGTAAGTATGATTTCCATTTGAGGTGGCCAATCTTGCTTTCCTCTGATGAGCTGCAGAGTTTCTTGGCCCTGGGTACAAGGAACTGGCCACTTATGCTCAGATGTGGGAACACGGGGCTGGCGTGGCGGCCGGCTCTCCATGTGCGCTCTGCCAGCACAGCTGCTCATTCAACTGAAAATTACTTTGGGTGAAGTACAAGGCCTGGAACATGGTGCAGGAAGGAAGGCTTTGATGAAGTGGAAAGGGGTATGTCCAGCCGGAGGGCAGGGGGAAGAGGATTGCAACCCTCAAGGAATAAAAAAGAATTTTGTGTGCCTACATATCAAGTAGGTCATTTACATTTAATTTGTGTCTTGAAAAGTTGGTAGGCAACAAAAATGTATTTGATGGTAGAAACTACTGCTAACCTAACCTAACAATTTCATCATAGACTCATGTTCCAAGAAAACTTGACTTTTTAACTAAACTAAAACAAGACAATATGCTTTTTTCTGGACAGATGAATGATTGTATACCTTTTATGCTCTGATTAAATGCTACAGAGTTTTATACACTTAAAGCTCATCCTACAATCATCCATTGTTAAGTCAGTCAAAAATACTACAGGGCCTTTTGTTCTGCATTTACTGATAGTTCTGAGAAGTTTTGACTCAAAATGGTATGGTAGTTTTATTGTTTTTCCTCACTCAGTGACAGATTATCTGTGGGAAAGCTCTGTGCATTATATAGTATAATATAGATTATCTGTATGTAGATTTTAATAGCCAGTCATTTTTCCAAATGCTTTCTTAAAATATCTTCTTTTAATCAGGCCAAGATTGTGCAGTACATTAAAGGAATTCTTAAAAAGTTTCAAAAACGTACTAGATGACCTCAGTATGGTCCTGTTTAACATACCCTTGGGAACATGTGCGTGAAATACATTGTGGTTTGAGGGTTTCCAACCCAAACAAACTTAAAAGAAAATGCAGCTTTTAATAGAAACTTTTGAAATTCCCCTGAATATAGGTATGGATGTCACCACTGAGAGAGGATTTGAAAGCATCATTATCTACAATGAGTATCAAAAGAGAATGCATCAGTCTGTTTTCAGGATTTCGCTTCCTAAGACTGCATATTTACATATTTTACTGTATCATCATCTGTGATTGAACTGCTCAGTTAAAAATATTAATGATTGGAGCCTTTGATTAGTATTTTTTTCCCTTGATGTCATGACCTAAGAGTGGGGAAGAAGGGGAAAGGATGTCACAAAACTGGTGTTATTTAACAAAATCTTCCCATTTGTACCACACAAGTTGAATAATCAGGTGTAAGACATCACTGTGAAGCATCACTTCTGAGAACTATGGGGAGGGAAATATCAGAATTATTGAAATATCACAGCTGGCCCCGATTTTCACTGGTGCCAAACACCTGCAGGCTCTAAAAGGATACCAAAACAGGACTCCACCCTGTGGCAGCAAGCCATTCCTTAACAACTCTTCCTTAACTTTGCATCACCATCAAAATTAATTTAACATTTTCTACAGAAACCTTATTCTTCCTGTCCCAGAAGGCCGTTACAACTCCTTTTGCAAATATTTCATATGGGATAAATATGTCATAGAGAGAAAAGTGAATTATTGAAATATTTAATGGCTGAAAATTATCTGTTGTTTTCATCTCATTATTTGTGGAAGCCTGTGAAGTTGGAGGTTTTATTAATTTCTGGGCTAGTTCATATTTTCTAAATGATTTTGTTTTAGCATATTTTGGCAAAATATCTGAGCATTTTGGAAAAAAGGTCCTTCAATATTCATGTAAGTGTCGAAAGAACCCCAAAATTCAGAGCTGTTAGTAAGCATGCAAAGCACTCCAAAATATAGAGCTAGTTTTTAAACCCCTTTTACTACACACACACACACACACCTGACACACTTTTAAAGATCACCTTTGGATGACATTAGTTACTATTTTTTGAAATGCAGTTGCATAGTGCTCGGGGGGTTTTACAAGTCAAACAAGATTATAGCCTTATCTCTAATACTGCTGGGAAATACATACATACAGTGGTTCCTGTACCTGGAA